AAACAAAACAACACTGAGATAAGTTTTTATTTTAAAAAACAGCTTCTATTTTATTTGATGGGATATTCAGCTGAACTTGAATATCAGTTTATGCATTTTAAGCATTTATCAGTTTAAGCATGTCTCAGGCTGAAACTAAAGGCTGTAAATGGATCAGAACATATAGTGCAAACATACAGTATTCTCAAATAATTACCAACTAGTCACATGTGCAGCAGAATTAACAAAACCCTAGTTTTTCCTATGACTGTGGATTTTCTTGGTGGATTCACAGGTGCATAAGAAAGTGTGGCTTGCACTGATTTTATCCATGCTTGTACATTAAAACTCTCCCTTTCCTGTCTGGATTTTTTGGGTGTTTGCCATCTGGATTATTGGGTATTTGTTAAGGGATGAGCACCCTACTCAAGGGAAAGTAGGAGGCCTTAACTGTTACTCATTATATTTGATGCTCTCTCAGCCATCAGATGTTCTGCCTTTTGCACAGCTGGCAGACAAAACAATTCATAGGAGGAAGCTGAAAATAAGAGGGGTGGATGTGATGGACATAAGCACAAGTTTTATATTGAATGGGATGTCAGAGAGCCTGAAAATGAGTGATGGGCACTACATATGTGTAGGGAGGGACCGAGTGCCATTCTCTGAAGGTGCTGTGGTGGGGTCTTGTTACTGCTATTTGGACTAAAACTTACTGTTAGTCCATTGAAAAGGGGGAGAAGGCAGCAGCTGGAAGTATTTTGGTGAATGTCAGTGTACAGATATTGAAGAATCTGTCCTCTTACACAGGCGTGGATATCTGGCTGCAGCAGTTACAAGCTTCACTAGTGGCAGCAGCAAACAACATATGAAGTGAAGAACAAAAGGATGACTTTCTATTTGCCCCATTATGTCTGTGTTATTACTCCAGCCATAGCCACACAAAAAAATAGATAATTGAGGTAGTGGTATGAAATCTTTGCTGATAAATTCTGCAGAGAATGCTAAGACTGGCAGCATAGTAGGACCACTATTAAAACACTATCTCCTGCCCTACTCTCTTCATTTCAAGAAGGGTATGAATATGTAAAAGAAAACTTGCATAACAGTTGATCTTCCCAGTGACTAATTTATCTTTGGGGACAAATTCTATCCAATGCTTCGGCAGCAAGGTGGGGTGGCTGTTGTCTTAAGTCTAACCTATGAACCTCTAAACTTCGAATGCTCCTGCATTGACCCATCTTCCCTGGAACCCAGAGAGAAGAGGAAACTGCATTGCCCTCAATCTGCCCAGAATTCCAGCAGCTCTGCATTAAGGTAATGGCTATTATCAAAATCAGCTTGGCCTGTCTTTCCTTAGCTCCGTGGAACTGCAACAGATTTGCCCAAATCGCTATATCTTCCTGAGGGATTGCCAAAACATCTCTATTGCTCTTTCAAAAGTCTCTGTAAATCAATAAAACCACTTACTAAGTTGATGCCTTCACATATTTTCTCTAGAATTGGCAGAGCAAAAAGCCTAAACTTGTGCCACCACACTCAGCTCTGCAACTACTCAATATCTTTATCCAAATATTTATAATGGATGGAGATACTGAAGAAACTCTCAGAAAGAAATCTGACATGATGTTGTAGAAGTTACAGAGGACTCATCGTTTGGTTCCCAGGGGCAGACAGATAAGAAGTCTTTTGTCAATTTGCACTAATTTGTCATCCTGTCGTACAGAGAGACTAGAGCTGCATAGCCAGAACAATACTGATTGGTATAGAGTCAGACTCCCAGATAATACAAATGGCTGTTGATTAATGTGGGTAAGTCCTGTTCAGCCTTAATATTGAAATTTGAAAAGCTTGTGGCTAGTGTCATGGAATTATAACTTAGATGGGAAGGGATGTCTGAAGTTCAACTAACCCAACTTCAAAGGTAGAATCAAGTTGGGAGCTAGAGCAGGATGGTCAGTGTCTTGTCCAATCAAGTTCTGACTTTCTCCAAGGACAGAGATGCTACAACATCTCTTGGCCATTTGTTCCAAAATTTATCCACCCTCACTGTGGATTTTTTTCCTAATGTCTAATCAGAATTTCCATTGTTGGAACTCGTGCCTGTTGATTCCTATCCAAACTCCCATCCGAGTTTGACTCTCACTTCTCTACAACCACACACTGGGTAGTTGAAGTCAAAAGTAAGATCCACACTTTCACCTTTTCTTAAGACTGAACAAATAAATCTTTCAGCTTTTCCTCGTATGTCACATGGCTCCAACATCCTGGACTTCCTCCAACATGTCTCTTGTTTTGAGGAACCCAAAACTGGACCATAGTCCAGTTGCATTCATTTGCAACAGACGTGGAATTTGATTTTTAGTCATTTATGACTACCACTTGGTAGGAGAGCACTGGAAAGCTGTGATTGAATCTGTAAAACCTGAGATAAACTGGGACAGTATGTGCCCGTTCAAAGCAAAACTTAAGACTATTTTGTTGCCAGATCGAGGGTGAAGAAGGAATTTCCCTTCTGTTCAAAGTATGAGAAATCAGTTCTCTGATTTAAGTATCAAACTTCATAAACAGAAAGGAATATTCTTCCACTGTGCTCCAAGCATGCCTGACCACTTCTCATGAAGTTCACATATGTCCAGGCAGTTTTACCTGCAGGAATCGACAGTTCCAAACACCAGAACTGTCAAAAACTCCCATCTGTTCACTGCTATGAACTCATCACCATATACAGTCTTCTTAAAGAAATTCTACATTGCCTCAGCAGCTGAATTTTTTGGGGGGCAATTCTAGTATGAAAAAGCTGCAACAGCTGGATATCACCATTTTCCTTTCAATCCTGCAATAGTGTGCTAAGGCTATTTTAATGCTTAAGCAATACTTGAAAAATTGGTCAGACTTTTAAATTCGCACTGTGGTGAATTCAGGTTCTTTTGTACGTTTCTGAGGCAAAATAGTCACTAAGGATGTGGTTCATGCCAGGTGTGATTTTGTCCAAAATTGCTGCACCTACAATGGGAAATAAAGTGTTCACCTTTGAATTATTTCTAATTATGGACCAGAGCACAGCACCTGTTGTTGCACTCAAGCAACATAATTTTAAATTGTAAAGATCACATCAATTTTTAAAAATCATTTTGGCATTTTGTTACACTTTATTAGTGTTTAAAATTCTCTCGTATGGCTTTTCCAGTCTACTTCTTTTCCAATATGCAAGAACAAAGCACTCTTACCTCTTGCCTAACCAGCATTTCCTGCAACACTACTGTAGAGATATGCCTGAAACTACCCCTCTTGAAGATCCAAGCACACAGAACATTTTTTTTTTCACAATCCTTAATGTCTGTCAATCTGTCATGTGTAAAAACCAGAACAGTCAGTGAGCAAGCACCTACTGAGAATTGTGGCTAGCTTGAGAGCCCAGGGCAGAAAAAAAGAGAGTTATGACATTATTTTCTAAGTTATTTACAATTAATTTAGTACCTCCGTGCTGAAGTGTACAAGTTCGACATCTGTTTCACTTAAGACTGGCTATATTCTAAAACGCAGCAAATGCTGCCATCTAATGGTACCTGATCGTGGAATAAAAGCTGTCAGCTCATTCCAGCTCACACAGAACACAATAAACATTTTCACCTCAGAAGCATCCCTACGCATGGCAGGCACAAAAGCAATCCAAGCCGGACAGAAGGAGGTCTCAAGCAGACCCACCAAGTATCTCTGCATCCCCCTGCCCAGTGCTGCTGACACCGAGTGCAAGCTTCTGAGTTACCCTAAGAGGTCCACAGACCTTCTTTGTCAGCTTTCTTCTGACAAGAAGCGGGTTCTGGAAGCAATAAAGCTAGTTCAAATTCTACTGATCTGAGCTCTTTAACCCTCTGCTTTCATGGGCCTTTATTTTTCCTACAAACAGCTTGGGTTTGACTTTATCTGTCATATTTTAATAGTATTTCACAAGAGAAATTATAGCAATAAGAGAGTATGCCTTGTAATAAAAGGAAACTTAAAAAACAGACAAAAATGCATTAAGCATCCAAACTCTTTATTGAATAATCCAAAATAGTCCTATTTCACTTGCCATTCTGAGGCCACCATAACACTTAACCTAATCAATCTAAACTGCAAAAAAACCCAGTAAAGGTAATATTAATATACATTGGTCATATATGATTTTTTTTAGAATCAATGAAATAAATACTTCCTCTAATTTTAATAAATGTTGTTTTGCAAGATACACGATTATCTTCTTTTTAGATTACTAACTAATACTTTTTATGACATTTGGATGAAGTATAGTAAAGAAATTTTATGTACAATAATTGTGAAGACTTTCTGGAAACAATACCTCTTGCATAACATCCTTTGGTTTTGGTAACTATTATTATCACAGCTTTCACACACTCAATGACACAAGGAACAAATTATGTACAACTTTCAAGCACAGACACTTGAGGATGATATGTTAAATCCTCTTAGGTGCACATGTAAAGACACCTCAATAATTCTTAAGCATGAACGAATCCATGCAATGGCCCTAGGATGAAGATGGTCCCAAACAACAAAGAAAGTAGTGGCTGATTATACTCTAGTATCTTGAGTGAGCTCTTTTACAGAAAATGCGTTAATTATTTAATTTTGCTACAGTACAAATTTTTCAAACCAGGCTTTATCTCTAAAGAGATACACAATGTTCTACAGCCTTGTGTGCTTATAAATCATATTACAACTGTTCTTTTACAGACTTCTCTGTAAACACAGAAATATGAAGTAACACAAAAAAATGACAGGTGTAAAACTTAACTCACCTATTCCAGTGGAAAAATATCCCATGGTTTTATTTTCCTCTAATATTTATGACATAGTTGTTCAAATCTTAGTTGTTTTAAGGCACATTTGCAAAATTGAATAATCACAATACTTATAGGCTAGCATCATTCTAAACTTAGAATATTATGCTCTGGGATCAAAATATTTTCTCCATCTGAAAATAACTGGTACTGGTTTAAACAAAAATGCCTGGGGCAACCTTATGTGTCCACATTATCGCTATCTGTTTCAGCAATACCATCATAAAATAAAGGGAGAGATATGGAAGATATAGTCCGTGATTTATCTAGCTTCCTACCGTTATTTTCATTAAGCATGGACACAATAAGACTTTCCCTCTCATGTGTTTCTTCTTCAAAGACAGCACTGTTACAACGTTTATGACGGTATAAGAAAGATTTCTTTTTAAAAGAACGCTGCATCAAATACCTCCTGAAGGCCCTTTGAATAACAAGAGCTGATACCTCCTCTTGTTTTCTTTTAAGGGTAGTAGTAATTGGCTTGTAGGAAACTTTAGATAGATTGGCAGCCATAAATTTTTCTTCCATGTGTAACTCAAGACCATCCAAATCTCCAGCTTCTCCCAAGACCCTTTTAGTGAAAGCAAGCAAGATATCCAAGCAGTGGATCTTATCTCCACTAACCATAGGGAGGTCCATGGATATCAGCTGAATTTTATTAGGCTTTGGAATGCGTAAGGGGTCTGCCAGAGCATCTGCAAAGTCTGAAAGAGCAGAATATTCGATAAACTGTGTTGCCTGAGGATCAAATTTTCCCCATGTCTCATAAAACATATCAAAGTCATCCTCAGAAAGAGGATCTGTGCTTTCTTCAGTGGCAACACTGAAGTTCTCTAAAATGACAGCTATGTACATATTTACAACAATGAGAAATGATATAATGACATAGCTTACAAAAAATAAAATACCAACCGCCTTATTTGTGCAATTGTTTTTCTGTTCATCTGTTAAATTTAAGTTGGGAGCACACGAATTAGGTCCTTTTAACAGAGGGACCAAAAGACCATCCCAGCCAGCTGATGTTGTAATTTGGAAGAGACAGAGAATGCTACTATCAAAGGTTTGAAAGTTGAAAATGTTATCAATCCCACCTTCCCAGCCAACACAGGCAAAGTTTGTCATGCCTACAATGGCATAAATGAACATAACCAGGAAAAGCAAAAGACCAATGTTGAACAGTGCAGGAAGAGACATCAGTAACGCAAAGAGAAGAGTTCGAATTCCTCTAGCTTTTCGAATTAATCTCAGGATTCGGCCAATTCGTGCCAAACGAAAAATTCTCAGAAGTGTAGGAGAGAAGGAAGACTGAAAGCCTTCAGCAACTCCAATACCTTTGAAACAAAAAAAAGAAAACAAAATGTTGTCAGGCTATATCAGTGAAATTCCCTATTTCTGTCCATTTTGTTATATTCTGTTTTATGTGTTGAAAGTAACATTGATCATATTACATTACTTTCATCAAAAAAATTATCTTCAATACTGCAATTGCTTACAAAAGAGCTTAAGAGAAGAAAGACCATAATGAAAGAAAAGATCATAATACCTTTAAATATTAAAGGCATATCAAGAATATGTACAGTTTAGAAACTGCATTCTCCCAGATTCCTCTAATTCAGGGGATGAAATTACACATTGCTCAAGTACTTAAAAAATCCTTTTAAATCCATTCAGCTCCTCTGCTGGAAGCTATGGGGCTTGTCTCCTAGCTGTTGTCCGATTGCTGCTTCTTCTACAGGCCTAAGCCACATGCTAAATGTGAGACTGTCATTAATGCTTCATACTTGAATGAGATCAGAGAAAAACAAGAAGAAAATAAAAAACCCTGTCTTTCGGTATTCATCCTCCATCGCACCTCGTTCTTTGGTCCTACTACCAGAGTAATGATACAGTAATAATGTAAATTATTACAAACGGAAGACTTAAGAAGCCAGCATTTTTCTGGGTTACACGGGATAGCAAAGGGGGTACTGTGCTCTGGGGTGAAGCACAGAACTCAGATCGGTTTTTCTTTCCCATGCTTTATTCTATGATATAACCTGAGCCTGAGTAAGAAGCACAGACCAAATAAACTGTACAAGAAACTAAAGCTATATATGACCCTTTGTAGAGGAAACAATAAGTATCTAGTTTTATCTGAAAAGCAAAACAAAATCAAGCCAGTTTTAATAAGACCTTTCACAGTCACAAATAGTGACTCAGATTTATAATGCTGCCAAGCAATTAAATTTTCCTGAGCTTTGTAAATGAGCCCCTAGAACATTTTCAAGTTCTAGAAAATGAAATAAATCTTTCCCATTTTTCATACAAACATATTTTAACCTGAATTTACTTTTACTGCAAAAACAACAGCTAACGTCATTACATGTAAACAAAAAAGCATAAAAATATTAAGACAACAATTTAAGTACAATAACTTAGAAGACGGTACTGAATTAAATTCCTATTCTGTGAACTACTCAAACTCATACTTGAAAAAAAATTAGAAAACTATCTATTTACCTTTCAGTACCCTGCAAAAATATAATAGAAAGCAAAAAATAAACAGAAAACAAAAATAAAACAGAAAACATCCGTTGAGATGCAATCACTTAGCATATGGTTTGAAAATGTACAGTGGGTCTGGAATTTGTTTATCAGATACACATAAGTGATCACTTCATACGGAAATTTGGCTTGGGATTGGTAAGACACAGTACCTGATCTAATAATGGTTGATACTTACTGACTAGCGAAAGGACGACAACAGCTAAATCAAATATGTTCCAGCCACTGGTGAAGAAGTAATGTCTCAGGGCCAGTATTTTTATGACACATTCTCCAGTAAATACCGCCACAAAAAAATAGTTGATTTTATTAAGAACATCCTTGATGCTGTTCTGGTTATTTTCTGCCATCATAACGACCATATTTAGACAGATGAAAGTCACAACAGTAACGTCAAATGCTTTGTGCGATACTATATCAAACAGCACTCCTTGGAACACATTCTGTGAAGAAAACGAGAATTCCTTAATGCTAATTCTAAGACCCAGGCTACATTCAGATAATACTCAGTCATTTAGGCTTAGAAAGAGAAAATAAGAGTACATAAATTTAACAATAAGCTACTAGAAGCATTTTTAGGTGATTTCCTCAGACCTTCAAAGAAAACAGTCAGTACTTGGCTAAGTATTTTCAGGTAGCATGAACCACATTTCCTTAGAAAAAAATTATAGAGTAGGAAAACATTCTAAGTATATTGTGATTGCTATTTTAATAGAAACAGTTATTGAAGCAGACATTTTAGGATACGCAATTCTAATCAAAGTGTTGTGAGCAATAAAAACTCGGTATAGTTGCTATGTGAAGCCACGCCTGGCATTAAATTTAAGAAACTATAAGAAATAAAGCATAAGATTATTTAAAAGAAAATAGCAGCCATGGGGCATGTTCTGCTCACTACTCATTCTCACCTGCAATAATCCAATCTAGTTGCAAAAGCAATATCATGCAACTTAAGTAACCAAGATCATGTTATGAATATCAAATTCTTAATACGAACTTTTAAAAATAGGTTGCACATTTGAATAGGTGATAAATAGGCTGTAAATTTCCTTAATTAATAGCCACAAAGTAAGACTGTGTTAGATGGAATTAAGAAAAAAAAAAAAAAGAATAAAATATAAATACTATATTGAATGAGTAAGATGATGGGCTCTAACGTGAAGTTTATTTCCAGACACCTGGCTACTGAGTTTAAACATGGTCACCACCTTTATAACTTCTATCATATTCTACTTGAGATGGTCTCACCAGTGGTCTTGGGATGGGTTTTTGAGGTTTCTTGGATCCAAGTTTTTTTAGGGCATTATAGTACTTTTTCTGTTCCTCAGTTAAAAATAGATCTTTTCCACCTAAGTAAAGGGAAAGAATGCTGTTGTTCAGCTGAAGTTTAAGCAGTCAACTAAACAAACACCAGTTTTTGACCGTGAAAGTCTAGTCTAGGCAGTGTTCCCGAGTCAGTTTCCTCACCTGTGAGAGCCTTTCTGAAGTTTTACGAATCTATTTCATATTTTAAATATCACATAAGACTCATCAACAAGTAAAACACTTTCCTTTTATATTTTTGGGAAAGGTAAGAACAGAAGTGTATTGCTGGGCTAGCAAGTAAATGGAGGATTATGAATAAGCACTTTGGGACCAAGTTCTACAGGAGGTTCCTGAAAATGAATTTCTGGTGCTTATCTTATTACCATATACGCCACCTGTGCTACTTAGCGATCACTTTGAACCAAGTATTCAGGAGAAGCCACTCATCATAAAAGCATTGAATGATTAGCAGTCTGTAAAATAATGTTCAGTAGGGCATCTGCACTTTGACTCGCTCTGGCCAGACCTCTGAAAATTCTGTTTAACTTCACTATATGGAATCTCAATGAAAACCCCCAAGAAGCAGGAAAGAAATGAAAAAGAAAAAAAAAATCTAGATGTCAAGCTAGCAGTCACTTAAACAAATTTGGATTACAAGAGACCCTGAATTAGCTCATGTAGTACTTATCTTTTTCCTTTGTTGGTTAAAATTGCTGATAACCACTCCAATGAAAAGGTTCAGCATGAAGAAAGATCCAAAAATAATGAAAATCACAAAATACATATACATGGCTAAGAATGCTTCAAACTTTGGCTGTTCATCTATCTGTTAAAAAAAAAAAAAAAATCAAACCAGAAAAATAATATTGGTAAAACCCAGATAATTACAGCTTTATCATTTCCAATGTAGAATAACAAATCTTTTTATTATCAGGAGGGATAAATTATTTCTACGTATTTAAACATTTATTTAGAACTTATTAAGTAGAACAACTGTCTTATTCAGTCTTGGTTTTCTGTTTGTAAAGATAATTACAAACAAAGAAAAATAGTCAAACCCAGCTCTAGCAAATTCTTAAGTAACAGATAAACAGTTCCAATCAGAACCGATATTGTGAATTCCTAGGTTAGAAAAACAGCTCGGACTAAACAGAATGGTGAACCACCACCCCCTTGAACGCTATCCCAGACAAGAAGCCAAGTTTTAAAAAGCCAGCTGACTGTGATCAGCCTTACAAGGAACGGTCTTTTTAACTAGCAAGTATTTCACCGCATTCAAGAGTACAGCACTGGAATGAATAAGGAAAATGCAAATTAAATTAAACATAGAAAAGTTAAAACACAATGTACTAGTGAGAAACAGCACATGGAAATGGGGAAGAAACAGTAAGGATGTCAAACACAGGGAAGAAAACCTCCAGAAATAACTACTACAGATGCATGCTGCTTTAATGCTACTGTACATTTAAAAAAGAAGGAAATTTGCTTCAGAGGCACAATCCCTCCAAGATCTTCTGAACTCTGTTCCCAAAACAGACTTGTCCAAAACTTGCAACATCTTGCCCTCTGCATTCTCAATATAATAGGGTTTTGTGTGGGGTCACTCTATTTGGACCAGTTTTCTTTTATCTAAGTTCCAGGTATTTAGTACTCCAAGGATTATTGTTTCACTGCATTGTTTGATTCGTGCATCTGCTGGTATTTCTGACTTAATATTGCAAACAGAGCTGAAAAATCAATTGTATGCATAGAGAAGGACAGAAGGAAAGGCAAAAGAACTAAAATTTCATTTTAGTGACATACCTTACGTGAATCCACAGCTGCATACATAATATCCATCCAACCTTTAAAAGTTGCCTGAAAAAAATGCATTATTAAGGTTATTACAAAAAAAAAAAAAAAATTAGTTGGAGCTAAAGAGTTGTGGAAAAGTGAGCAGTGTGCTATAAAAAAACCGTGCATTGCTTCTAAAGATCTGCTTGGAAGTATTACTAGATACTGCAGTTTAGTAAGGAGAACAAAATTTACTTCCCAAAAAGAAAAAAAAACACGCCATGAATCCCTGAAATGCGCTTTAATGTTAACTCTAGTTAAATTGAAATTTTTGTAAATTCTCTGCTTTCTGAAAAAGCAGTAAGTTTCAGCTTAACTAGCAAATATATACTAAAAGGATAAAAACAACTTCCAAGAAAACAGCAGAGGATTCCTTCCTGCAATTTTTTGCAACTCTGCAGAATCATAGAACACTCTGGAGGATACAGGGGTAAAAGCCACTTTTAAAAAATGCCTTTGTCTCCTTTGTTGTGGTATTGGGGAGATTTATACAATAAAATAAAATATAGAAATATAAACAAACTGCATTGTGCTTTTTTTTTTCCTCATCCACTCTGAACTAGCTTTTACTAAAGAAAATGAGAATAACTTCAAATCCGGTAACATGCAGACTATTTCAGGTTTAGTACGTTAATCAAAAGTAAAACAAAATTGAAAAGCCGTGAAACACAGTTCTTAATTTTAATACAAGGCTGCATATGCTCAAATTCCTCTTTAGGAGGAACTGAGCAGCTTATAGATAAGAAAAATATTTAAGGTAGCTAAAAAACAATCTCCAATTTCAGTGAGATAAACAGAAGCATAGTGGTGTCCCATGGTTGGGCTACTCAACACATTTCCTTGAAGAAAACAAAACTAAGAATGTTTTTATAGCGCTTACCACTTGGAGAAGAGCCAAGTATCCCATCCCAACATTATCAAAGTTTACATCACTATTTGTCCATGTTCCGTTATAGTCAGTACAATTTTTTTTGTTTTCAATTTGACTGATATTTCCTTTCTCGAGTACACATTTCGCAAATTTTTTTCCAAGCAATTTTACTCCTGCAATGTTAAATAGGAGCCAGAAGACAATACAGACGAGCAAAACGTTCAGGATTGAGGGTATAGCTCCCAAGAGTGCATTCACAACAACCTTAAATAAATAAAATGAATGAAAAGAATGAATTATTCACATTCAATAGAACATCTTCCCAGAAAACCACTGATTTCATCTTCTTCTGTATCTATTGCAGATCCTCACCCATATAAAAACTAGCAGATGACAAATGTAAAGCCAGCCTTCAGCCCAACTTCAAGCTTGTCTTAACATGTAATTCTGTGGTATCTATACTGCCTTTTTGAGGAAGTAAAACAGATGGCACCTAGAATTATTCTTGGGTAAGAGAAACACATAAAATAAGATTCTGAGCCTGTAGTAGCTATGGGATCTAAAAATCAGGGATAGGGGAATGGGTTGTATGATCTACACTTACTGCAATATCATAAATAACCCTCCCTTTTATCTTGGAGGGGTTTTGTAAGGGAACAACAGCTTACTCTCTAGAACAGAATGAACCTCACCCAATAACCACTGGCAACTGACTGCACACAGTACATAAAGCAGAGAAGTTTGGCTTCCAGAAGACTGAATTCTTTTGGTCAGCAGTCTTGCTTCATTTAGGCTTGCTTGAGGACAAAGTGAATGTAAACCCACGGTGAGCGGTAAGCCTCTGCCGGAAACGGTAGAAGTGAAAATGGGATTCCAGCTTTTGGTGTTTGTGACATCAAGGGCCCTGACACAAGCAGCGATAAGAACTCATATTCGTGAGTCCAGCACATTGATGCTGACAGGCAGGACCATGCTTGTTGCCAGGGGGAATCTGAGGACTATCATTTATTTCTCTTCACCATTTTTCTCCACTCTGTGGTGGGGCATAGTGAAAATCTCTCTGCAAATGTTTCACTGATACCGTTTTGAGAAAATTCTAAGCTTTTTATCCTGGCCTTGGATAATATCCATGTACTAGAAACACACTGAATGAAGCACATTGGAAGGGACTTCTGAAGATCAGCTGTTCCAACATAGACCAAATTGCTCGGCATCTTGTCCAGTCAAGTTCTGAATTTTGCCAAGGGTGGAGATTCACAACCTCTCTGGACAATCTATTGCAATGCTAAACTCACACTGTCATCTTTTTTCCCAGGTAGCTAATTGGAATAACCCTCACAGCCACCCCATTCTCTCTCATTTTCTCACTGTGGGTCTACCAGAAAACATTAGTTCAGTTTCTTGCATAACCTCCCATTAAGTCATTAAAGCCAACAATTAGATCCCTTAGCTAATTAGATCCCAATCAGATCCTCCCTTTACCCTTCTGTTCTCCAGGCAGAACAAGCTCCATTCTCTCAGCCTCTCCTCTCCAGTCACCTGACCATCTTTGGTGGCACTTTCCTGGACACTCTCCAGGATGTTAATATCTGTCTTACACTGGGGGGCCCCAGACTAGACACAATACTCCAGATTCAGTCTCACAGGTGCCAAAACCAGAAGAGTGAGTTGCCTCAATGTGCTGACCAGATTCGTGCTCATACAGCCTGATAAGTGGTGGACCTTTGCTGCTCTGCTGACTGATGTTTGAGATGCTGTCCACCCCCGTCCTTTTCTGCAAGGTGGCTCACTTCTCAGTGTGCCACAGTTACGTGTGTCTTGGGTGCAAGACTTCACATTTGCTTTTGCTGAAATTCCTGAGGTTTCTGCACCAGTATCTCCAGTCTGTCAAGCTCTCATTGAAGAGCAGCCTTACCCCCAGTGTAGTAACTGTTCACCCCCGTTTTCATATCATCTGTGAACTTGCTGAGGACAATTTCTACCACATTATTCTGACTGTTAATTAAACCATTAACCAGTATTGGTCCCAGGACTGACTTCTGAGCCAGTAGTAACCAGCTGCCCGTTCAACGCCATCCTGATGATCTCTGTATATTGAACCTGGCAGTTCAGCCAATTTTCTGCCTAGTTTATAGTTGTTTATAGTTCACTTATCCAAACCAGATACAACCTACATCTGAGACAACGATGGCTCTTCCCTCCCTCAGCCGTCTCGTCATAGAAGACAGTCAGATTTGAGAAGCAAAAATTGTGCTTCCTAAATTCATGCCGACTGTTTCTAACTGATTCCTCCTTCTCCTTCAAGGCTTCCAGGAGGATTTGCTCCATATCCATCCTGGCGCCTGAAGTTAGTGTCTCATCACATTCTGTAATCTAACACAGGTCAGATAATTTGCATTATACAGTTTGTTTTCTGTAATAACTATATACATATCTTTTCTACTGATAAGTAGTAAAATTGCTCCTAATTTTTTTCAAGAATATTCATTTTTTTCAGAAGAATTTGCCAAATACACTAGATGAAATTTTTCCATGACTAAGATAAACCAAAGAATGGGTTTCAGAAAAATACAAGCCTAAAAAAATTCTTTAGTATGTTCTGCAAATTGCACTGAAACCGGAAACATGGAAAAATGTTCCAGTGTTCACATTACAACACATAATAATTCTTTGTGGTAGCACATTATAATTCAATTTCCTTATTCCATTTGTATTTATAAATTTATCTGAAAGTGTTAGGTATTATTTCAAAATAACCACCATCAGATGTAAGCAGGTAATCTGAACCTTCCTAATGCCATCACGTCCCAAAACAGAGATTCAAGTTGTAATTTTCACAAAACTTAGAATGCAGCTATTACAAAACATGCACATACACCCCCAATATCCTTACCTTTATCCCTTCAAATCTTGACAAAGCTCGTAGAGGCCTCAATGCTCTAAGAGTCCTGAGAGATTTCAGGGCACTCCCAGAGGAACAAGGTGATGTGTCTTTGGAAACAGTATTTAGTCCCCAGGAAACAAATGACAGCTGTGTTCATTGAATCGAAAACAAGATTATTAAATGGTTTACAAATATTTATTTTATTTGTGCCAGTGGACAATCATAGGCTGAATGTTACAGTGCCTTTGATCAGTAAGTCAAATGAAGAAAAATATACAAAGTTATCGTAACATATTTTTACTTCATTCTTTCCTAATATTTTAAAAATAATGGAATTAATTCATTCTAATTTGACAAACTTTTTTCTTATTTTTTCTCCTCCGCCCCCCAAAACCAGTTCATGTAAAATTTTTTGAATGCTAATATAACAACCAAATTGGTAACTATGGTAATTTCGTACACTACAAGACCAGAAAGATTTTTTCAAATAAAATATTCCCATCCTCAAAAGTTTATGGAGTAATTCCTTATCATAACTTAGTAGGGTGATGTGGAAAAAAAATATTTTTTATTTAAATTTTCATAAGAGAGAAAATGGACAGAAAATATTAGAAAAGTGTTTCAATAATTAGGGTTTTTTTCACCATTCATGATTTGCCTCTTCCTTCCTATTTGAATTTGCTGTCTCATTGTCTAGCTGTCAGGCATTTTCATGCTTTCCCTCTGTTTTGGACAGTACTGCTATTAAATTACAGAATTGTAATTGCTAAAGTCATGCTATATATTCCTTGTAAATAGTCATAATAGATTTTTCTGTTGAAATTTCCTAGTACTTCACAACTTTCAATGCTAACTACTCAGAGGCTATCAAACAGCTACTTTGACATTACCAGAAGTTAGCTGTGTAGATGTCTTTATTTTAAAACATTTAACTTCAGTATCTTCCCAGTGTATTGTTGACAAACAAAAATATTTAATTTTTATATGGCAAGATTACTTTCACTTAATTCAGAATAAATATGTATACATTGAACACTGCACTTACTCCATCTCACTATTGATGATTTCAGCATTTCTCTTTACAGCTATATAAAGGATTGCTAGGATTTCTTTGGTTGCAAAGCAAAAACATACTTTCCTACATCTTCATTTCTCTAGCAAATGATTTCTCCAACAATACTTTTCAACTCCTTCTATCATCTAAATTTCTTCTTCTCTAAGTAAGCAAGTCTACTCTTTTATGTTTCTAAATACTGGAGCTGCCAGCAGCTTCATATTTTTCTATCATCTTAATGAATTTATATCAGTTTTATTTCTGATCCCTAATTGCACTCTCTCTCTACACTCAAAAAGGTTTTTGTAATCAACATGGTCATCAATGACAGAGATACCTAACAAAATTTTCTCAAGCAACTTCTGATTATTACTTAAAATTTCCATTTAAATTTGCCTTAAAATCTCTTTTGATTGCAATTTTTTTCAGCTTTTGGAAGCTGTCTTTTATACTTGTGTTTATTCATAATCAGATTTTACATTTAGTTCTCTACATAGAAAACATCAAGATTCAAAATATAAGACAAGCTGAATATAATACTTACACATACAATGATGAAGTCAAGCCAGCACCAAGCATTTGTGAAATAACTGTGTAAACCATAAGCCAGCCATTTCAGAAGCATCTCCATAAAAAAGATGTAGGTAAATATCTTATCAGCATACTCTAGGATCATTTTCACTTTTTTCCTATCCTGCAGGTGAATATCTTCAAATGCCTGGAATTTCAGAATTTGGTTTTAGAACAGTTCAGTGGTTTTATGCAAAATTATTTTAAAATTGCACAAGAATACACAGTTTGGCTTATTATAACCATTTCATACTAATTTATGGGCAACCAGCACTTAGTTTTATACCTGTAAGTAAAAACCTAAATTGCAAACTAAGTACAATCTCATTTTCAGGTTGGTTGAGAAACCAAATACTTTCAGTTGTTTACACTCAACACTTCTTCAAGAAATATCTGACGAGGGTCAATTGTGGCTACCAAAAATCTTGGCTTTCCAAATTAGGCAATAATTTTGAAGGCATTAGTCTAAAATTCTTCACAATAAAGCTTGAATGAAACATATTAACCACAGTCTTTCAGACCTAGTCCTTCCAAAGGAGTCATCTTTAGTCACCCTGCAGAGTTGTAATAATACAGATATGAGAAAGCATGACAAACATCTTACTTGGAACTGCTCACTCCTGCAGTCTCACACTTTTTCACCTAAACCTTGACACTACTTTGATGTCAGTAAGGGTTCAGGGGAACATGGTAGCAAAGACACCTCAATGGTTTTGCAAGGATTAGCTCAGCTACAGTGGGCCTTAACTGTTAGAAGTGATCACCAATCACATTAAACTATTATCTATTTCTTGCAGAAACACCTGAGTGCCTCTGCTATGAGTCCCCAGTGCTCTGGGAGAAGAGGATTATTTAGGTGTTACAGCAGACCTGCACTTATGACATGTTAAACCCAGCCTAAAAGGCCAACCAATAAGGGGGAGCAGGATCATAACCAGGTGATCAAGTGAGACCTGCAACAGCAAGTTCATGTAAAATCATCGCAGTGTTTCCATTTCATATTCCCACTGAAAAAACACGGGGCAGAGATGCTCCTATGTACAGTTACCAACAATCCCGTAAAATTATGCACTCCTGCTCTGCAGTGTAAGAAAACATTAATCCTACTTCTGGAGCTAAGTGGTCTTTGACACAGTAGTCATTCAACGGCAGTACAGTTAGAAGAAATGTCTACAGGGCAGAGCTGTCACTGTGCCCACAGGACTAGTAATTTGACTGTGGGTAACTGAGAACACCCAGCATTCATGTACGTAAACCTACTTACTATTTCCTGCCCTTTTACTGAGCAAGTTTGATGATTAGCATCATCTTTTGCACTGTTTAACCTTGGCTACCTTGATTTCCATCTACTAGTCAAACCAGCTGTTCATTAGCAGTGATGCTCTTTCCAACTTCTAACTACTAACTCTTCCTTTGCTCTGAGCACTGAGCACTCGCCACATCCTTTTCTATGCATTCTTCCTATGATCACCATTTCATTTAATTTACTTTCAAGACATGGACATGTCTGATGGCATGATACCCCATCATTCTAGCTGGTTGAGGAAATTCTGTACCAGCAAACAACTTTACAAAAAACCCCAAAACATAAAATGGACCAGTCCCTTTTTGCAAGTGGACAACAGTATCTTAGAAATACAAAAGTTCTCAACACCAAAATACATCTTTGATGAAAAAGAATCGCTATTGTTTTGTTATTTTGCATCTGAATACCAACTAGTTTTGTGTCCAATTTAGCCAGATCCCACAGTACATTAAATAATAACTCGGTTTCCTTTGTTACTTCAGTTTGATTCCACATGAGTAGAGAAGAGCACTCAGGGGAATCCTAGGGAGTTCCCTTGGAGATTTTGCCATGGAAATTTTAAAGCAGACAGTTCAAATCTATGGTTCAGTGGACAATCTAAACTTAATGCACACAGGACAGATTTCATTTGGAAGATTCTGACAACTACTGTACAGATCTCTCTCACACTAGTTGGTTATGTTCCTTCTGCACTAGATAATGTTTTATTTAACAAGTTACTTTCAGCAGACTTGGTGAATATATTTTCAGATCAAATAAAACTTCCCTTATTCTTCAGTAGAAATGGATATAATCAGAGTAGCAACGAAACATTAAGTCACCTACCAGTTTACAGCCATCTTCACATACAGATTTTGGTCATCTTAATGTTTGGATGTTTTTAAATCTAAATTTTTGCTGAGAAGTTAGTCTGCTTTACAAATTTAGAAGTACTTTTATTTTTTAAGATTTCCTAACCAATTTCAGACTGTGGCCTAGTCTCCTAATCAAGCACACAAGTGTGCAAAGAACTATGTTCCATGAAGAATTATGAAGAAAACTATGATTCCGTGTATTTAAATATCTTATCCAAGTCAGGGAGAGCCTTATAACTTCTAAGGGATTCTCTTGCCTCTATACTCTCTACTCTTCTTGTGAGAGTAGAAGAAATATATTAAATACAATAATATGATTCTTTTCCTTTACTGACAACCATCAATTCAAAATTTGAGAAATCAAATTAAATTTACCAGTGCTGCACTGCTCAATATTATCATAAAAATTATAAAATTTTCAAACCAGCTATGTTTAACAATTCTGTAGCAGGTTTTTCTAAATTTCCACCAAGTTCTGCCTGGAAACTTAGTGATATCCACCGCACAACATGGGAAACATTCAACACAACCTGAAAAGAGAAAGAACAGAAGATTGGTTCCGTGGAAAATGTGGAGACATGGAATCTAAAATGTGTAAGAAATCTTAAAAAGAGCTTCTGCATAAACAAGTGTATAAACAAGTGTCTCAGGCAAACAGTTTCTGCAAATTTGGAACTGTTTCAAATTGATATCTTTGAATCCTGGTTCGTTTGGTACATAAAAGATTCTTACTTTCTGCAAAACAGTCCTTAGGTGGGTGTGACTTTTTAGGCTGGGAAAACTTCTCCAGAAGAATAACTGGATCCACGGTGCTGGCTTCAGAATAGCTATCAGCATCGCATTTCTGCACAGAAGGGCAAAGAAGAGAGTTTATTTGCTGTTCATTAATAAGCTTACCAGATTTAAAATAAATAAGACTTATCACACCCCTCCCCCCCCAAAAAAAAAAATCTGCAGCATATAAATTATTTTCATGTTGTTGAACTACCAAAATAAAATTACAAATAATAGGACTGGAAAGGCTAGCCCATACTCTTTGTTTCCATGGCTTTAATTTAGTAAGTTTCTTGGTTTCTTTTAGTCATCTACATTAGCAGGAAGAAAAATGTTTAGAAGAGATTATGCTGCAACTTTGGAGAAAACTCCGATATCTTCATGGGAATCCAATTGTTTTTTCATTTTCAGAGATATAAACCATGTCTCAAAAGGCTTGAGGATGGGAAAGCCTAGCAGGAAAGAAACGTGCGTATGGTCTACACATCTCAAAGAATTTGAGTTATTGGTAGGCAATCTACATACCTGTAAAACTCAAGGCAATAAAGAAAACAAGTATAAAGAAAAAGGAATAAAGCAATCTAGTAGACATAAAGTGTAAGTGCCCTGTATGACATGGAAAGGGAAGCCATGAGGACAGGTATAAGAAAGAGAAGGCAGAAGAAGGGAGAACTGCCTCTGTTGACAGCCATGCTGCTTTACACTGACTTAAGGTCCTAGGGAACCTTCAACATAGACAAAAATGCAATTATTTAAATTCATGGTCATTTTAATATTTTTAAAAACATAAATATAATTAAATAATGTACAACAAACAAAACTTCTAGAAACTTTATCTAAAATCAGAAAATGCAAAAGTGGTTTGATTTTTGGAGGTAATAAGCTGGAGAGTTGCTGAACTTCCATTTAATTTTCTGGGTCATTGGGGGCAAGCCATGATTCTTCACCTTTTTTGATGTGGGACCGCACTGTATTAGAATAAGCTGAGTTTCTACATCACAAGAAGTATAGTTGTTTTCAGAATAGTTTCTAGAGAACAAATTTTTACATCCAAGGACAACAGCAAACAGAATTATCTACAAAAATGAACAGTATGTTTCAGATATGTTTAAAGAAAGTGTGTTTCTTGATTAGTTTCTGTTTACAGATTTTGTACAAAATAATATATTATGTTGCACTGTTAGCCATGGCTGTTTGTGAGAGACAAACCTCCATGCTTTAAACTATTATTACCTCTAGAGAGAAGTACCATCTTCGCAGGGATTATACTTGCCGCTCTTCAAAAACCCCCAGCTTGTCCCGTCATTGCTGAATGACAGAACCGCTGTGACAATTTTCATCTCTCGCATATTCCACAAGATGATAAGAGTTATAATTACCTCTTTCTGCTCTTTCTTTTGATGTGTTTCTGAAAAACCACTTATAGTTTCAGAAGTCCCAGAAATCTGACTGAAGCCGCTTGAACTCCAGCACCGCTCTCTGTGTCTTAATCTTTCTCCCTGCATAAAATAATGCAAAACAGTTGATTTTCCACCTTTTTCTTCCTGCCAACCATTCTTAAAAGTCAAAATTCTTAAACAGAATCTAAAGCATCCACAAAATGTAGCATGTTTGTCTTTTTACAGTAATTAAATGTATCCCTAAAAGGCGTGTAAAAGGCATGTTTCTTCCTTGATTTCGGATAGTGTCGTCCTGTAGTTATACTGTGGAAACGTATCATTCCTCAAGATCTACCTTTAGCCCACTGATGCATTCCTTTTTTTTCCTGCATCCAATGCACTCTGATGAACTGGCTCAGTGGCAACCTTTGCAGCTGGACCCCAACGTTCTCACGTTTCTGATTACAGGCAAAAGAGATAAGTGATCCCAACCAGCTCTCAGTTCTTTTGCCACTACAAATTCCAAGCAATACCAGATTCCACTGCAGTGGGGAAAGAATTTCTGTCATCAAATGCTTGTGGACAACATATTTCAAACAGCCACAGATGATTCTAAGGTGATCAGCCGTTTCTGCTTCATTCAGAACTTGTCCAAAGATATTCCACTGACAATGCCTCCTCTTATGACCAAAACCATAGACAATCGATACTACCAGTCCACCTAGACGCTGACCATATGATAATCCATGCAAAAATAGAACCTGCTTTTGACACTACTGCCATGGCATAATACTAGGTAACTGCACTTTAAGCCCAAATAGCTGTTCTGATAGATTTAAAATACGGTGATATCACAATCATAACACAACTGACACTTAGAAAATGCAATTCTTAAGAAGTTAATCTAGGTACAATATAGTCATCAAGGCCTAGTGTTCCACATGAGCTTCCTGCTTACACATTTGGATGTGTTTTTCAGATGAGCTAAACCCCATATTGCCACACATTTACACCATCACTTTTACCTATGAAGAAAAAAAGCACAGCTGCAACATCTTAGAAAAGCTCATTCCTACTTGAATGCAGCAGCTGAAGAAATAAGTAGAAATGAATAAAAAGACTTAAACAAAAATCATAAGCTACTTTCTGTAAGAGGATTTGTATCTTGCTTTGTGTGAAGAACCTGCAAACCAGCTCATTCTTCTGTTGTATAAGCCAGCTTTTATTGGTAATTCCATCAGTGCAGGTCTGAGAAGGGTTAATTATATTTTTTTTGTTCACCTTCTGACAAAAGACTGCAGGCAAGGTATATTGGAGTCTGCTGCTTCTTATTACTACTGCCTGTGAAGAAGGCAGGCTTCTAAAAGAAACTGAGGTCCTTGTGCGCTGAGCTGAGCTGAAACTACTGCTGGATGTTTCACACAGAGCTGCAGTACTGTCAATGGGCTAAAAGGTATCATCACCCTTACCTTCTACAGCCAAAAATGTTTATTCGGGAATAAGAATCTCAGAGGATGACCCAATGATTCTGAACTAAAATGCATTCATGCAGAGAGATCACCATACTGAAACCAGCATTCATATCCTTTCTAAGCAAATACATCCCATCTAATAAAAGTAACAATGCTGTCACAAACAGAATTTCATTAAGACACATCACCCTCCTCAAAGGAAAGTAATTGGGTAAAATTTCATTTTGTTAAAAGCCTAATACATCATTAGACAGAAGAAAAGAAAGCAAAAAGAAGGAAAAAATAATCAAGAAAGCAAAATGGGAGAAAACACAGTGGGCAACATACAAGTGATATGGATATGCAGCAAGGGACACTATTGAATGCAGTGAGGGCACAAAGGGTTTAATTCAGTTGCTTGCCCTAAACTGCTCAGTGTCTTTTAAGATACCTAGGGGTATCCAAGACATACATATGGCATAGTTAAATATAGCACAAGATCTACAGGAACTGACAGACAGCATTTTGAGGTGCATTTAGAAGCTGTATGAGATAATCCAGCACCTCAAATGGCACTTGACATCTGTGAGGTAAGTAGTACATGGAATCTTGAGATTCAGATATCTAATTGTGTCTGATACCTAGTGTCATCTGAGGTGTTTCTACATACCCCTAGCCTCCAGATGTCAAAAAAGAGTTCATATAGCTCCTGTGTCTTATTTGTCAGTCCCATGTGGATGTGACAGACGCCTGAAGTATCTCAGATATCACTAAATGCGTATGTACAGGCAAACAAACTGCACTGTTATTGACTACCATGGCAGTATAAATGCCTCACTCACATGAGAAATCTGTATTTAAGGGCCTAAGACCTGAGCTTTATCCCGCCCAACACCACAAAATTAAGAGATACAAAGGGGAGTCCAAAGTATCATAGACATGAATAGGGAATTAAAGAAATATTAAGAAATTATTTTTTTAAAGTGAAGCTTTTATTTGCATTCCTTTGGATTCCATGCAACTGCAAAGCAACATATAAGCAAAACAAGAGGCCTGCCTTCCAAAAATTCCAGGTGCCATCTGTGAGGCAAAGGAGACAAAAAGACAGAATGTCTGTCTTGATCAAACTTCATTTAGCGATTGACAGCGATAAACGGAAACAAAACAATCAAAAGCAGAATTATGGTTATCAAGGAGGAGAATGATGAAAAAGTGGATATTCAATATCTTTTATTGAACAACTAAGACTATTTGATAGCTCTTGCATTTTGAAGCTACTAGAAGAACAAAGAAAGTAAAACAGCAGCAATGACAAAAGGGACATTTACTGTTGATTCTTTGAGATGATATTTACAGATACAAGTTACAATAATTTTTCAAGTATTAATATTCCTTACCTGTTTTCTGCATTCTGTTTCTGCACATACACTGTGCTCATCATCACCACCTTCATCGGTGTAAGCCTCTGCTACTGCAATGGGAATGCAGGTGCTACGACTGGTTAAAAATTCCTCATATTTCCTCGTTATTGAGGGACTCTCTTCAGTATTGTAATGGCCAATGTCAAAGTAATTGTCATCTATACACTTTCTGATATCTGTCATGGCATAGTTATTTTCCTCTAAGTCTTTGGCAGAAATTTTCACCAAAGTCTTCTTTTTGGCTGTTGTTTTGAGGCTTCGTTTCATTATTTTGCCATAACGATGCAAAATTCTGTCTTTCACAGTCTGCAGGCCCTTGTGAATCCGTGCAATGGCAATCTGACATTTAGACATTTGTCCAGCTTCCTCTTGTCCCATTGAAGAGTCAGTACTGAATGAACTCAGCAGCAAGGCAATGAATAGGTTGAGCACCTTAAAAATAGTTAAAGTAAGTTGGAGACACTACTGCTAACAGAAAAGATATTTCAGAAAACCCTCCTTAGATAAAAAAAAACCTCTCAATCTTGCTTTTATCAACCACTGCAATGAAATTATTTACTACTACACTGGAATATTAATATAGCATGATATGGCTCCTTCTGGAAGGAAAGGCAGGGAAAAAGGAAGAAAGTGAGGTCTGGGTATATCAAATATATTCTCACATACTCTGTTGTTCATAATGTACAAGGAGGTAGGTACGTTGAAAAATGGCAGGCAAAGGTAAATTTTAATACTACCACCATCAAAAAGGATCTGGTATAGACCAGCAAGCCAAGCAGATTAAAATGATTTCATCTTCCAGTATATACACATTAGATCTAGTGTATGTCACACACACCAGAAAATCTGGGTACTGTAAACTTTGGATAATATAGGGATAAGTTGGTAAGCTTTAAAAGCACTGAATAGTTTGGTTATTTGATCCTAGCAACAAAAGACGAAGAAATCAGACACCAAATTATCAAAAGCATTGCACTTCTATACTCTGGGTAGAAAGAATAATTTTGTGTATTTTGCTTAGCAGCCATCCTCTGTGTGAGAAAGAGAAAAACAGGGGAAATGGAAAAAAAAAAAAAAAAAGACAGAAGAAAAATGTATATTAAGTAACATCCAGAAAACAGAATAGACTGAATACTCTTCAAATGATCAAGTTTGCCTTGGCAAAAAAAAAATCTAGTGAAATGGATGCATTCGCTAGGGACTGAAAAATAGCTTGAAACTCACCACCAGGTTTCCTATCACCAGGACTAGCAAGAAAATGGGAAGACAAAGCTCTTTTCCAGCCACTTCCATGCATTCCCACATGGTTTCTATCCATTCTCCACATAATATTCGGAATATAATCAGGAATGAATGACAAAAATCCTTCATATGCCAGCGTAAATCCCGATTGGTGCTTATTTTACTGTAATATTTCTCATAATAACTGCCCAAAACCTGCTTTCCTACTACAGCAAAAATAAATACAGTGATAATCAAAACCAGAGTGAGGTTACCCAGAGCACCAACTGAGTTTAGAATTATTTTCATAAGAGTATTTAAGGCTGGCCACGACTTTGCCAACTTGAAGATCCTGAGCTGTAAGTAAAACACAAGAGAACAATGTGAGTGGTGAACACCGCATAGATAGCACAGCACACATAAAAACCAGATGGCGCATTTATCTTGTTGTCTTTACTTCAGTAACAACATCATAATTTTTCCCCCAAAGAAAAGTTTTTAATTGTTCCGATCCAAAAGTGTTGCACTTAAGCTCAGATGGTTAATGTTACTGGGAACAGAGAACTGCCAAAGGAAGCTTTCAAATTGTTTGCTCTAAGGTAGATACGAGCATGTGTAAGTCTATCAGTATCAATAGTAACAACAATAATAGTCCTAATAACCAAGTGGTTTATAGATACTTGGACAACGCTTATGAAATAACTGCATTTTGGACTAAATCAAATGTAATCAGATGGAAACTGAAAGAAAAAGAATTTTTTTCTACCTCTCACCCAACAGACTCAAAACAGGCTCTGAAAAGCCATATGGGATCTATTCTATGCACCTTCATGAGTAACAAAGGACATCTTTTGGTCGAATCAGCATTCAAGGCTGTTAAAATCTCTCAGCCATGATACACAGGATGAAACAGAATTCGACTGTATTTCTAGGTGTGATGGCTCTGGAAGCTATGCAGAATGTCAGAGGTAATTACTAAATTTAACATTCTAAATACACAGTAAGTATGTATGCAAAAATGTAACACGTTAACATCTCAGAGCTACTCCTTTTTCCTAAGATGGAGGAAAGCGTTTAGGAGACCTCAAGGCCAAGTCTAAGCCTTGAGGAGAGCTATGTTATTTTACAAATCTCAGCTCAAAAGGAAAAGCTGTGAAGGACCCTTTGCTATCCTTAAGCTCGTGAAAACTGTCAGATACTATCTTTTTCTAATTGAAGATCTGAACTGCAGTTGAGTAGTGACAGATATAGACCTAACAGAGAACCAGTGAACTCTCTGCCAGGTCAAATCTCCAAGGGGGTGCACTGTGCCAAAGGATTTGTACTATCCAATATACACAGTGTAATAAACATATTGAATGTATTCTTTAATATTTGTTTAATATTCACTATAATTAAACATTCATGTTGCCTTACTATTTACTAACAAAGAGAACTGATTTAACAGATTCATCAGTAAAATAATTTGAGGGTTTTTCACTGTAGTCTTTTACAAATCTAAACAATACATATACTTCAAAAAAGAATAAAGAAATAACTACCAGCCTGAAAGAAGACAGGTTTTCTTCAAAGCTTATTAGGCCAATCATAACAACTATGCTATCAAAAATATTCCATTTTTGCTGAAAATAGTGGTAAGGATCTAGAGCAATGATTTTCAAGATCATTTCTGCTGTAAAAATCAGGGTGAAGACCTGGAAACAGGAAAAAGAAATTCAGCAAGAAGTCACTGAAAAAGTATGACTCCTTATGGGACTGTCTCAGTATAAACATGGGGATATAACTCCATATTCACTCTAACATAGATCTAACTTACCTTGTCACTTAGAAAAATCATTTGTTGGTAATTGGGGTCCATGTCGGGGTACTCCAGAGCCATAAATAAGGTATTCACAATAATGCAAACCATGATTAAGAGATCCACAAATGGATCCAAAATTACCAATTTCACTTTCTCTTTGACTGCTCTCCAGAATGGACAACAATTCCAAATCAGATATTTTTGAGCAAAACGCTTCCAAAATGAAGGGCATTTCAGTTTTGACTCTTGCAGTTCTAAATGACAAAGAGGGAAAGCAACATACAAATAATCTTATATGGAATATCATAGTATGAAGAAAAAGACAATCAGTTGTAGAAAAGATTGAAAAGAAAAAACAATCTCGTGAATAGAATGGCATCCTTGAAAAAAAACTGTTTCACTCAATCTACACAAACTCATCACAGGCTATTTAAAGGAACCATCAACAAATCTCATAATTACAGGAACAGGTGATATATATACATATATGTTTATTATACTATTGAAGGATGATAAAGGATCTGCACTAAGGAGAAATAACTTAACTGTCTTCAGCAAACTGACAACTTGTTTTCCGTGAGCTGCATTTGCACAGTCACAAATGCAGCACGGGTTGAAAAAAAGTCCAGGATATAATGAAGAAGGGCATCTCCCATATCTTGGTGTCCATAGGGAGGATAGGGTTGTTAGTAGATATGTCAAGTTGAAAAGGGACCTCAGGAGATCTCCAGTGGAACCCCTTTCTCAAAGCAGGGTCAGCCATGGGGTCAGAGACTGCATAACCTGTTCCTTTGTCTGACTGTCCTCACGGTGAAAGCTTCTCATACACAGTTTGAAGCTCTCTTCTTTCAGTTCATGTCTGTTGTCTCATCTTCCCACTGTGCACCACTGTGAAAAGCCTGGCTCCATCTTCTTGATAATGTCTTCCTACACACTGGAAAGCTGGTATTAACTTCCCCTCAAACCCTTGTCTCCAGGTAGAACCAGCCCAGCACTGGGCAAGTGCTCCAGCCCCTGACTTGGTGGCACTCTACTGAACTCAATGTATTCAGTATTGTTGGAGACAGTGTCGAAAGCCTTACTAAAGTCAAGGCAAATGAAAACATTGCTCTCCCCTCATCCACAAACCCCAGTCATTTTGTTGTACAGGGCAATCAAGTTGCTCAGGCATGATTCACCCTTGGTAATTGCAAGTTACAGCTACAGTTATGTAAGACAAGAATATTTATTTTACTGAAATTCTACATTTGATTACAGCATAATTTCCCCCAGTGACTTTTAAAATAATGCTGACTTTTCGTGACATTTTGATCTCTCAGGTCAAGTTACACAATCACCATAGGAAAAACACTAAAGAATGACTTACTCAAATTGTCTGTAATAATAGTGGCTGCGCTCATTAACCTCTGTCTTCGAAAAGGATCATTAATAGAGTCCACTGACAATTCATAGGACAGCAGTATCTGCCTCTTTGGTTAGAAAGACAACAGAAGATAATATAACAAGGGAATATGAATAAATGGCAATATAAACATTATGCCGAGCGTAAGATAAATACGCCTTTTTAAACACACGTTGTAACCTTACTTTGCTGAAAGAATGTAAAACAAAACAATCTATCATGTGCTTGCCTTTGAAGGCAAAGGAGATTTCATCAAAACCAGTAATATTTTTCAAGAAGTTGTTTCCTTCTGAATATAGTTAACATCAATAATAATGCCATTATGTAAGAAATACAGAATCATTAACAGGGGAGCAAAGGAAAAAAATCATCCCATCTTTCCAGAGACTAATAAAAAGTACATACAAAAAGAACACTGACAATCAGTTTGAATAAATTATTGGCTATTTAACTATGAATTATTGATTGTTAATAAATAATAAATATTTATAAATACTAATAATAGTTATTTAGTGAATCAAAATTGTTGCTTTTCCCAGCCCTATTAAACCCATCAAGATCTATATTAATATTGAACTGTCTAAAACTAGGAATGAGACTGCTTTTGTTTTCGTTAAAAGTTACAGAATGCTAAAATCAGTATTCTTGACGTGCACCGAAGAACAGACAGGCCAACACGTGTACCTTATGGGACATACTGAATTATTATCAAAGATTCAGTTCATGACACATTAATACCTGCCTCTCCCCTTTTAAAAACTAAATAGACAATTGTAAAACATGGGCTGCAAAGAATAGGTGAGACTCTGACGTACAGAAAAACAGAAAGAACAAAGATTCCAGTATCAAGGAGGACATAATTAGAACCACCAGCTCACAGGGAGCTACAGATGGACCACATCACAGTGCACAGTGCCTCAGCGCTCCCTTTCAGCACAACTTGCTCTGTTTCAGTTTATTCTTATGGGGAGGGGGTAAGTAAAGACATGTCATGTTATTTATGAACATATGCTTCAAAACTGTTATTCAGAGAATGAAACTGATATCCTTGCCCTGACTTGAACAGCTAAGTAAAACTTATCTGACAGAAATGTCATAGAACAAACATATAAGATGAATTTATAATACAGTGCTAAAATGATTATTTTTCTATCTGTATTTTTTCATAATCTAAACCACTTAATTAGACTAGTCTAATCACATCCCAATTACCAGTGCAACTTTCCCTTTCAATTTTTTCTATATTTGGTGTCTCAGAGAGAAACCTAGAAAAATTGGTGCGTCAGCGTAACTAAAGTGCTTAGTCTTCTTGTTGAAATTCATGCCTGTTCAGAAGCATTCAGAGTTAGTGTTTTCAGAACACTGAACCAGTTACTGCTGCTCATCTATCTGTAGCTGAAGCAAGCAAGTGGTGAAGTCCTCTGACAAACTGGGATTTAAAATACACACTAGAGAAATACTCCATTCAAGTTTTTATAGAACTGATTATGTCCTACTAAAAAGTTTCTACCAATACTCTTTTTTTCTCTTTGACTTAGCATCTTTAGCCTCTTTTTGTGATTAAACTAGAATGTACATTTTTTGAAGAGTCCTCAGTTGCAGCAGAGCTAGTACTACCAGCAGTTGCCATAACATGAAACAAACTGCCATGTTTGTTGCAGGTCATACTTACTTGACTAATGGTAGAACTCAGAGCAGCTCACACTGCTTGGATCCTGCTCTAGGGCTTCCTTTTTTTTTTTAATGTGAAATACCACATTTGTAGGACCAAGTGAGAACTGTGATATAGGTGAGTGAGAGGAAGTGAGCATGCAGGTGGCCTACGCATCCTGAAGAATCCTCATGATTGATAAACAGCTGCTTCTGCTGTCAAATGATCATCCGTAAGTATGTGTAAGATAAGATTACAACCAGGATCTCACGCAGTCACAGTTACCTGGAGCTTGGTCTTGGAATTCTTCATGTAGCTAGTGTAGAGGCATGTTAGCAAGCAGAGCAATGTAATTTAAACTCTGCAGAATCTACTCCTGAAAAGTGGGTTCCACTTAACATTTCTCATACCAGGTTCTAGTGCAATCTACTTCCTGTTTCCAACAGATCCTAAACAGAGATACTCATATCTTTGCCATTCTCTGCACATAAAAAGGGGAAGGGACTTTTGGAAGGGACTGAAAATGCTGTTTCTGAAATGTAAAAATACGGATTGCATTTGGCATCCAACCTGTGCAGATTTTGAGCCTTGGAGAGGTAAGGTCTAGGAACTAAACCAGATTTATCTCCTGGCTCAGTCATCTCCTGCAATACAGTCACAGACTTAGAAGAAAAAAATTATATAGGGATAATCTGTCACAAGAGGTGATTTTTGTACTTACAGAAGATATGACACCTGCTATGGAACGACTTTTTTTTTTTTACTCAATAGATATAATAATACACTACCATGGACTGTGACAGCGTGTTCCTTTTAAGTACATCAGATCCAAATTAGGTCACAAAATGGCATAATATTCTTAACACAGCAGGGGAAACGTTAATGACACTTTATAAGAAGCAAATACTATACTACAGGAGATGACAGATGGCGGTTGCTGCCAAATGGATGATTTTGACTCCTTCAGCTCAGACACATAATTTAATACAGCTAGGATCACGAAGTTTAGAAGAAATTCTGACCATGCTGACTGCCAGAATGAAAACCTAGTCCATTTTAGCTAGGATGACATGTCTGATAAAAACTTCCCTACAAGGACACATTTCAAAAGGGATTAGGTTGGGCTATTACTTCTTTAGCTCTGCTATTGGAAAGTTTCCATTCTCTATGAGATGGGTGGGAACGACTCTGATGTTCTCCCAGACGCAAGACAGAATCTGTCACAAGATGGAACGGACGATCATGGTGTGTCATAGAAAATATGTCAGGAGAAACAGGGATGAGAGATAATACCAAAATGAACAGTGTACGTTTTGGTGATGATTTCCAGCTCTCCATATCTAAAGACCCTGTTCAGACACGGTAAATGATCACCAAAGAAATGGAAGGAAGAAACACATCTGAGAGGGTGAATGAAGACTGGTTTGAAACTCCAGACTGCATTATCAAAGGTGTGGTTGCGAACCAGAGTTTCAGTCAAGGTGTTATTTGGACACAAACATCTACTTTTGCACCATCTGTTTTTCCAGTGGACCCTGTTTGGTCTAAGTCACAAGCCTGTACTGGAGAATGGCTGTTGCTGAACCAAGGCACTAAAAGTTTTCTTTTTAGGTAATGTTGAAAATATCTCAGTAATATGGATAATTGTCTGAGAATTATTTTGGAATATTCAGCTCAAGATTAAAATATCTAAATATAGGCATCTAAATGTGGATGTCTGCATAAAGCCAGAGAAAGATTACAGTTAGGAAGGTCCTCTGGAAGTCCTCCCAACCCATCGCTCAAAGCAGAGCAAGCTTCAACTGCAGGGCTTTTCCCAGCTATGTTCTGAATATCTCCAAAAATACATATCTGAAAATTTCTCTGGATGACCTGTTGTAATGTTTATCCTCTGTCCTTCTACCAGAGAGCTCAAAACTTGACACAATACCTCAGGTGCAGTCACGCACGCGCTGGTCATGCCAAGCAAAGATACACACATGGACTAAGCATTGAAAAGGCAACAGACCTATACTCTACATGAATGCTCGACCATTGGTAGTGTGACAGTAAGGACTGTCCATGAGATACACAGTATTTTTCCAGTGTCAAAGGTATTGTGAAAAAAACCCTGAGATTAAGCAATGTAAGAATTACAAGTCTTAATAGCAGTTTCTTAATGGATTTAGAAAGGAGTGATGAGCAGACGAGCCAGGAGTCACTGCTGTAATCAAGATGTGAAATAGCACGTGTGGGATTCAGCCTAATAGTCAGACATCCGCATTTAATTTGTCCATGTGCACAATGCATCTAAAATCCCATTATAATTTATTCATTTTTTTTATAAGTTTGATTCACTTAAACATAAATGTCTAAAGCCCTTTCAGATGGTCAACTGAGACATTTGGGATCTGAGACATCCGCAGTCTCAGATTAAGCAGACATGACATATCACGTCTGTACTCTTCTGCAGAGTAGGTGGAGGCCAAGCAAGACACTAGAAATCCTCTAATGTCAGTAGGTAGCAACTTGTGACTCAAAAAATTAAATCTCCATTCGACTCTGGGAATTTAGAACCTAAATCACATGTAGACATGAGCAAACAATAACTGGAGCACAATCCAGTTGCCTAAATCTAGGAATTTAGTAGCATTTGAGATGCCATATTGTATTTGAGATATCCACAGAGTGCTGGAAGACGTGCCACAGGTGCCAAAGATTTCCAGGGTACCCAACCTGTCCAAGAACATCTAAAATGGCATAGGTAGACAAGTGAATCGTGCCCCTAACGTTAGAAGTCTTCACTGAACTAAATCCAACCCTAAATATTTAGGCCAGAGAATTAGCTCTGTGTACAAAAAAAAAAAAAAAAGAAAGGTCAGGTCATTAGGGAAATTCTAGAACTTACAGGATTTTATACATTTGTTTATGCAGTACAATAGAGATGCCAACAGATCTTACCACAGCTGTAAGTGCAGAGGGCTATAATATGCCACAAGTATGCTACTTATGGCCACTTCAAACTTTCCTTTCAAGTCCCTATAACGCTGTCTCCCTCTGGTCCCAAAATCTAACTTTCAGATTGCTTTAAAAATTAAAGTTAGTTCAACACATGCAAGAAGGGAGAAAAAAAAAAAAAGGGGGGGGGGGGGGGAAGAGGAATGCAAATAAAGAAACCTTTTCTGCTCATCAAATTGTCATATCACATGCAAGCCATTAATGAATATATTATTCTATTTTGAATACTTACAAGCTTCTTGTGGCAGCGACCAGGCTGTGAATAAAATATATGCTCCTCCTTGTCATGATCACCTAAAATCAAGCCCTGACTTAAAATAGGTGTTTCTTTCTTCACCTCTTTTTCTTTTGAATTTTTCAAGTCAGCAACTGACATTTCGGATCTGACATGTGAGGCCTTATTACCTTCTCCTGCAGCCAAGATCTGTAAAAGAAACAGCAAAAGGTCTGTCTATTAACACAAGGTAAATGCCAAAGCATGGACTATGAACATATACAGTTTAATTACTATGCTGTCCGAATGCTTTGCCCTAACAATTGCTACCTTTCGAATATTAAGGTATTATAAAAAGACAGGAGTACAAAATGCTACTACAGCCCTGAAAGATAAAGCAGTGTTACTTACGGGCTACTGGAATTAAAGTTTGTCCTTGCCACTTTAGATATCGTACTTTATATCTGAATTGCAGAAAACTATGGTGTATCTATCCTTTTACTCTCCTTTTCCTGCTTTGGAAAGGACCTTGAGCTCAAAGACAACCAAAGACCAAGGGCTCAAACTAAATCCTAAAGTGTTAAACCTCTCTTAACTACTAATCCTATTGAAAGAAAAATAGAAGGAAGAAAAGCCTAAGTAAAGCTTGGCAAGCTGGAATTTCAGACAGAGAAACCTTACAGGCCTGTCAACAGCTGTAGAGGAGGAATTTGGTAAACTGGTGATGCCTTTCACCTTAATGATGAAATTGGATAGTTGCTAGAGGATATTTCTATGTCCTCTTATAAGTCTGACTTTTCTGATTGTTAGCAGTAAATCAGAGGTAACTTCTATAAAAAAAAGTTAGCAAATAAAATATGTCTTACCAATAATTTTCATTCTGTGATGTTGCCTCAGCTCAGAGCTTCACTTCTCAGAAAGAAAATAAATACAACAAGGTGATCCCTGGTCCCATACAGGCCAAGGGATGAATGAATGTAGGCGACAGACTGTAGAAATCTGATGTGTGTCTATTCGCTCTCCAAACCAACGGCAAAGAAACTAACGCAGTCTCTGGATGTCCTTCCACATTAATATGGAACTAACAGCATTAGCCTGGCCGAAGACTATTCCTGCTCTTGTCAACTGGCTGACCTTCTGCATGGAGTCACTCAAAAAGAGGCATGACAGCCCCTAAATAGCTGAGCACAGTGGCTCTCAGAAAGCTTGTATTTTTAATCAATCCTGAAATCTATCAGCATCAGAACTTCCAATCTCATGGAACTGGAGAAATGACAACTTTTCTTATGGATGCAAATTTATCCACTCGTACTTCCTTCGTCAGACTACGTAGTAACAGCAAGAAGCAATATCCAGAGAAAGGAATTTGTGCTCAGCAATAGTGGTAAAGTACAAGAATGGGGCAAACCACAGAGCACAGGTACCTATGTAATACCATAAAAGCCACATACTTTGGCCAGCAAGCCATTCCTAAACAATGCCAGGTCTGCAAATCCTAAAACTTAATATGATTTAACTTAGACTCATGCTGTTTGTTTGTATCACAGAAATTTTTATATCTATTTAAATATATATACATACACACATGTATTTATAAACAGACAGAGAGAAAGAGACAGAAAAAGACAGAGAAATGAAGTGTAAGAAAGTATTGTAAGACGCACGATTAATTAAAAACCTTATCTCCCTAATTCACAAACAGAAAAAAACCCATAAGGAATTACATATTATATGCTATATATAATAATTTACAAACCTGTTCTTTCTCTAGAATTTGTTTGGCATCCTGAAGTAATTTTTCTTTTGCCTCTGTTTCAGCAAGAGTAGCTCTATTTTGCTCTTCATATGCCATAGTTACTACAGCCAAGATCAGATTGAAGAGATAAAATGCACATAAAAAGATGACCCCCAGGAAAAAAAAAATGTAGTTCTTTCCAGATGTACGGATAGTCTGTGAGGAAAATATAAAGGTTGCAAAAAATTCTTAACAAACTAACATTTACAATAGAATTTCAAACTAACTTGAAACAATTTATTTTCCTATACGATACAAAAAGTCAACATACTGCACTGCTTTCATTAAACAGTAGGATCTGCCTCTGGTCTAAGTTGTACAGAAGATCTAGAAATACATCTAGTCAGGAGTTCCCCTGGCCTTCAAGTAAATTAATTTCACCTCTTAAAAGCTTCTCTGTGATCATATATTGTTTTCTCTTTATGTAACAGACCATCAAACATTCATAATAATGCCATGCACTGCAGAGAAGAATTAACAAAATCCATTCTTAAAATTAAATATCTCCCAGCAAATCAGGCAAATGATCATCAGAGTTTACGTTACGAGAAGACAACTTCAGCTGTGAAGAGATATACAGGTGACTACAGAAGAAATTAATTAAACTCAGTAATAAGGATGAAAGCTAGGATTATCTAAACAATCATGAAAGATGCTATAATTAGAGAATCAGAGGCCATATTTACACTGATTGCTTATTCTTAAATTTTTTTTAATGGCCGCAGAGGAGGTGGTACAAAATTAAGCCCCGAGACATTAAAAACTAAAATACACAGGACCTCCAAACATCAAAAAGAAGATGCATCCATTTAAAAAGAATCTCAGTTAAAAAAAGTTGCTAGAAAAAATTAAAGTGGACCATTATCCCAAGGCAGAGGATAATTCCCTTCTAGCAAAGGTACTGCAGAGATGGAAGGGATCCAGAGAATTCTCTACATGCAAATTTTGTATCATTTCTGTCAAAAAATGGAAATTGAAAGTTACATTCAACTCTCTGAATCAAAACATAAAGGCTCCAATTTTTTTAATACCAGTTGCCAAAACCGACCAGAAATAGAAGTGTATGTTGAGCCAAAAGATTTGTTGAGGAGTCAGGACTTAAAAGGGAGAGAAACAGAGTATGTAACAAGTCCTCATATCCCCTGCAGGAGCAGTGAGCTCACCAGCCCTATCTACTATACACCCCAGTCCTTCCGTAGTTACATATTCTCATTTGACTATTAATCACTGAACCAAGGGTGTTCTCCAACAAAACTACGAGGATTCACAGCAGGATTGCTTCCACTCAATGTCACTTGCAGAAGGTGCTACAACTTAAGTCACTGGAAACTTCTTCCTTAATATTTACATTGATTTTAAAAGAATTTTGGTATCAGTAATGTTAAAACAGGTGCAGATTTTTCTAGTGCACACAAAGCTCTAAACTTTCCAGCAGGTAATATTCCAGCAGGTAATGGAAGTACCTACTTGTCTGTAGAGACGCTCCCAGCAATCCTGTGTCATCAGACGAAATAAAGAAAGGAAGGCCCAGCCAAAATGATCGAAACTTGTATACCCAAAGTCAGGATTCTTCCCAACCTTCTGGCAGCTATAGTTTTCTGGGCACTGACTGTTAGCCACAAAAGAAATGTTAAACAATACCTACTTGCAGTATTAGATTGTACCTGAAAGTACACAACATCAATTCTAGACTTGTTCAGTTTATCTGAAAGTCCATTTCATTATTCCCCAATATAATTCTGCCAGAAGGGTTGATTTTTATCAGACAAACCTAGAAAGCCACTTGTCTAGGCAAAGAAACTAGACAAAAACTCTCCACTGATGTAGGATACATGCAAACAAACACATACAGAGGGCAAAAATGGAAATATCTTTACTTATAAATAATTCACCAAGTTGAGGAGAGTGTATTAATATCTCACAACTCTATTAATCTGTTCCCCTCCTCCTTCATATCATTCTACATTACCATTGCATTACCAGTGGTCAGCAACAAGGCATACACATAATTACTTGCATCCTAGACTTTACTTCATTCTTTTTTTGATGTGAAATATCTGGTTTTAATTTAATAACACACACACACATTCCACCCTCCTGAAAAATCATCACCATTCCTTTAGGTCAAAAATAAAACCACAGTACACCTAGAGAAAAAAAAAAATAAGAAAGTGCTAGAACTGCTTTGTTCACTTACTTCGAATTTGAACTGAACTCACAGAGCAATATTTCAGGAGATTTATTCATTCTGTAGCAGATATCTAATAAAAAATATACCAAGGAACCATAAAATCAGAAGTTGTCAGTTCTTACAGAACTCTGACAGTAAACCATACATGACTGCACTTTAAAAAATACCCTGACGGACCAAATCTCTGTGAAAGACTCCTAGCTCAACATGGAAATTAAAACAAAACAAAACAAAAAACACAAATAAACCAGTAACCACACAACTCACAAGGTAACATTTTATTTGATCTCTGGTAAAAATAAGTATCTCTGCGAGAAGCAGGCAAAATCCCTGAATGATATAGATTAAGTGATGGAAAAAACCATTCTTCGTGCAGTACCCCTAAAATTAGGATGTGCACAGGTAAAGAAGCAAATGCTTCTAGAAAACTCAGTCCCTTCTATCCCACAGACTGCTAATCTTTCCCCAAACCCAAGATTCACTAATCTCATGTTCACTTGTTGCAGAGACTTCATGTAACTGCTCGTGCAAACGGAAGGACATACCTTCTTGTGAGAAATACATGCAAATAACTGCATTTTAACATCTCTGTGAAAAAAAACAAGACATACATAGGAAGATACAAAGATTAAGTAAAGGGAGAAAAGAGTAAAATTTACCTGCATCATCTGGTACATATATCTTGGCATCCTTACACAATGAGTCATTGTAAGTAGCATTAATGAGGACACATTTGGATGTTAAATTGCCCATAAAAAGCTGGAGGCCTATTAGAGCAAATACACTCAAGCAAAAAACAGTCAAGATCAACACATCAGTAAGTTTCTTAACAGATTCAATAAGTGAATTTACGATGACTTTCAGACCTAGAAAAATAAGATTCAATAATACACAAAATGAGAAGAGGAATGCAGCTGCGTTCTCATATGACAATATGCAACAGTTGCAAGTGTGTTAAAAATGATCAGTGGAAATGGTTTTACAACTTCAGAGAATTAAATGAGGTAAAATAGAGCATAGGAATGAGTAAAGTATTTTTACTTAAATTTCCTATTCATCACTTATTTGGCTTTTACTTTCTTCTACTTTTGCTAACTTGAGAATTCTAAATTAAGGTGGCATCTAAGCAAACTCTTACAAACTTTAATGAATATGGACAGATTTCTGTGCTTGATTAACATTAAACAAGTACTTCACATTGTGCCAAATACACATTACGATAAAAGATAGCTTCTGCTGACCTGAGGGAATTCTCTCAGAAGATAATGCCTTACAGATGTCAACAGTTTAAAAGCAAAACAACATTTAAGACACTGGGAAAAGAACAAATACATGTTGGGCACCACTCAGCTGGAACGCAGCTTGGTGGAAAAGGACCTGGGGTTTCTGGTGAACACCAAGCTGAACATGAGCCAGCAATGTCACCTTGTGACACATAAGGTGAATGGTATCCTGGGACGCATAAGACAAAGCATGGCCAGCAGGTCGAGGAAGGTGATCGTTCCCTTCTACTCAGCACTAATGGAGCTGCATCTGGAGTACTGAGTCCAGTTCTGGGCTCCCCAGTGTGAGAGAGACATGGACACATTGGAGAGAGCCCAGAAATGGCCATAAAGATGATGAAGGGACAGGAGCCCTCTCCCATGAGGAAAGGCTGAGAGCTGGGACTGATCGGCCTGGAGCAAAGAAGGCTCGGGGGGGGATCTCCTCCATGTATATAAAAATCTGAAGGGAGGGTGCAAAGAAGATGGAGCCAGGGTCTTTTCAGTAGTGCCCAGTGACAGGACCAGAGGCCATGGGCACAAACCGAAACATAGGTGGTTCCCTCTGAACATCAGGAACACTTTTCTACTGTGAGGGTGACCGAGCACTGGAGCAGGTTGCCCAGGGAGGTTATGGAGTCTCCATCCTTGGAGATTTTCAAAAGCTCTCTGGACATGGTCTTGGGCAACCAGCTCTCAGTGGCCCTGCTTGAGCAGGGGGGCTGGACCAGATGACCTCCAGAGGTCCTTGTCAACCTCAACCATTCTCTGATTCTGTGAAAATGGGTTATATATAAACTGAAGGCAAATATTCTGGCAGAATAACTGAATATGAAATGTGATATTGGCAGAGAGTGATAGCCAGGATTTTTCTAGAAGCTTTTCATAAGAAAAAAGTAAAATTGCAATTTAATCTCTCTTCTGCATGGCAAATATGAAAGGAAAAGTATTGATGGGTGGTTTTGACACTAAAAATTAAACACTTCCTATGTTTAATTCCTGTTACAACTCCATAGCAAAATAAAAAAGATATTTTAATTACATATAAATTGTAAATTTAATACATACTATAACAATGGGATATCTAGCCATTTACAGATTTTTAAATGAGTTTTTACAGTTAGATTCCGAAATCCATAATTTGGTATCCTACTTCACGGCATGACTTACAAAAATATCACGTATCTGGACAGCATATGCAAAATACTGTTGAAAGTATCACGCTCAGTCCAGATAGTGGCTGTGGTCAGTATATAAACAAAAGAAACTCTGCAATATTCAGCATTCTGGGAAATAAACCACAGAAGATTGAGCTAATGAAGTGTCACGTGAAACCAGAAATACGTTGGTGCAGCCATGTTATGTTAAGACAACATATTGAATAGGATGTGCTGCTCAGGAAAGACAGATGTAAAAAGACAAAGGCACCGGGCTAAGTAACATTGAACACTAGTGATGGGATCAAAAAAAGCAGAAAATACAAAAATTTATCTGTGTCAAAATCATTTTAAGGAAAGATGATAAAAAAATATTCTGTTAGGATGCTGCTGAGAGTTACTACAGGCTGCAAAACAGTCACAGCTTGGAATCCCCTCAGCCGTCAGAAAAAGTGACCAGAAAACTGAAGACAAGAACAGAAGAGGAATTAGAAATCACATACTGCTGAAACAGAGAGTAAGACATGTTGCTCCTCACCTGGTATTACCGAAATAGCTTTCAAAGTCCTCAGTACTCTGAAAGTTCGAAGAGCTGAAACCTTGCCCATACTTTTACACAAGGTAACATACCTATAAAATCAAAGAACCATACAATGGAATGACAAAGATCTCACTTTTCAGAGCATACGCATATTGAGCACACAGTCATGAATAAGTTACAGAAAATAAACAGGTCAAACATGTCCTAAGGTAGATGTCTAAAGTTGGGAATCTAAGTCCATTTCTAGGTATTGATACAAAATAATGAGACTTTTGAATAGTGCCTCTGAAAAGAAACACAGCAAGTTTTCACTTAGTGTGGATTTGGATGCTTAAATTTTGAAGTGTTTATCCACCAAACTGTCAAATAAACATAAAATCTTCAATGTCATAACCACATCCTTTCATACCGAGGCTAATCTGACTTAGACCACATGAAAGTACATGTTGCAGCTA